GCTTCATCAGAGTAGTTATTTCACACCAAGAATCTTTCGGTTTTTTTTGTAGTGAGTTTGTGAAAAGTGCATGGGTGGACATTGAGAGGTTCAAAGAGCAGAAAGACCATGATCTCAGAGAGTCTCTCATCAGCTATGCCATCATGCAGATCAGCATGTGCAAAAAGGTGAGCACCGTCAAAGCAAGCAAAATAAACTAAAAAAATTATTTAGTCATTACAAAGCAAGCAAAAAAAATCTTTATACTGATCAGACACAAGGGAGAAGTGGTATAGTGGCACTGAAACATAAGCATGTTTTGTTTTTAGGGAATTCAAGTGTGGAACAATGCTAAAGAGTGCTTCAATAAGATGTGAGGGTTCCAGCTACGACAACCAGAACACCAGGAGGCCTTGGAGATGTCAATCCAGAGAAGCACACACTCCTAGAGACTGACCTTGGGGACTAAAGTCTTCCTCTCAATCCTAAACATTTGTCAGCCTCTTACACCAGATGCTCTGGTGTAAAAAGGTATCAAATAATATTGACATACACTAGTTTCTGAGTCCAAATAATGAATGAATGGGGTGCTGTTTTATTTATTTCCACGTTCACCAGCCAGATTTTAGACCTGGTTACTTTTGTGACTGCACTATTTTGACCTACACAAGAGCTTGTGAAGGTAATGGACAATTCTTAACACTTCAGACAGAAACAAAAGAACGACTTAATTAGTATTGATTAATCTTGAACAATGGAATCATTTCTTTATAATTTGTCTTTTTCTTGATGCTGTTTGATGTCAGAATGTGTGCTAAAATCATTCCTTTTTCTACGTTCCATTAAAGTTTTTACTACTTTAGCTCACCATAAAACAAAAGCACAGGTTAAAATTGTCAAGGCAAAATAAGAGAGTGGGATTTTGAGGGGGAAAAAGTGAATCCAGCAGTTCTATTTTTATTTTACCTTACACCCCTCTTCATAATGGTGGTCTTGCACTTCTGGAATGTGTCCAGTTACTGTGGCACATGCAAAATGATCTTTGTCACCTGGCGCAGAGGACACCTAAAGTCAGATTTCCTAAGAAAGGAAAGTAACTTATTCGCATGCAAACTAAATTTGCCCTGACGCCCATACAGCTAACAAAGTTGCATAAATTCATCATAATATGCTGATCTGTCACTTTTCTGCACATTCAGTCATAAAAACATAAGCTGTTTATACCACTGATCCCCTCCCTTTATATGGTTCAGTTCATCTGAAAAATATTAATATGCTGTTTATACCTTATTCAAGCATATTTTCTTTGTTGCCACAGCTTCCACTATGAATGCCATATTTGTCATTTGTTATGAAGAGTGGGTGGGTGGGTCAGTGTTTTGATATAAATCTGGCTAAAGAATACGAAGGTCACAGGAAAGGCAGAATATAATAATTTCCTCATTTTAGAGCTGCATGTTTAACTCAGCCTGACCCCTGGTCATTTGGTTCATTTTTTGGTTTGGAGTGGGGCAGAGATAACCATTTTGTATATATTCTGTTAAAATCATTGTTGTGTAACACTAATGATAATAAAAAAAATTACCATTATCATTTGGCTTGTGTTTTCATTTGTAGTGAGGGTCGCACAATATTAGTTTTGTCTACTTTAAATTTATTACGGATCCCGGGAAGTCACCTGTAGGAGAAAAAAAAACACGTGGGCACGATTTGTTAAACCGAGGGAACAGTTTAAGAATTCGTGAGTACGGTTTATAAACTGAGGGGACGGATTGCAAAACCGTCGCCACGGATTTTTTTTTTTTCTCCTACAGGTGACTTCCCGGGCTCCGTAGAGCTCTGCAGTGATCTTTTTTTTATGTGGAGTTCATTTTGATTATGTTTCAATTTATATGAAATTGCTGAGTTTGAGGTGTAACATTAACAAAAATACACCGTGTATGAGAATGCTTATGTATATAACCAAATATATTTAAAGTTTAATCAAGTTTAAATCTGTCAAACTACAAATGTCTTGTTATCTCTGTACATTAAACTGAGGTGGGAGAAAGTATTTTAACATTGAAAAAGAATACATCCTTTAACGTGAGCTGTGTACTGGTGAAAAGAGTGCTTTTCTTTAAACTGATAAATTGTAGTGATCGCTACAGCCTCAGCCATTTTCTCAGAAGGAATCTCCATTTGTTGTTTTTTGTTGTTGTAATGCTTCCCTCTAGTGGTGCGTTATACTTATGAACAACTTTTTATAACGAAAACCTTTGATATAACAGACTGGTCAGATGTTTGGCTTTGTTTGAAATTGCAAGACCAGGTTAAGGTTTTAACCAATGTAAATGAGTGGACACTTTGTTTTTCACAGTTTTATCCAGTTAAATATCTTATCAAATTGAGCCAAAATCAAAAATGAATGGTTATTATATTTAAATTTCACCTCTTCAAGTTGATTTTAGGGCAGTGCTCCTCATCCTTTTTGACTTCAAGGCCCCTCATTTTCCAACACTATATTCAAGAGTCCCTCATATTGGATATATTTGCTATGGTATTTGTCTTGTAATTATGACGCTAGTTGTTTTTTATTAACAGAAACTTAATTAAACTGATTCATTTTGTGATTCGATTATATTTAATGTCCTTTATGTTTTTTTTCAATAATAATAAAAGAAAAGTTTTTGAGAGGAACTGTTTTGTGTTGTTTTTAGCATTTTAATTATTATTTTTTAGATAAATAATTTAAGTTATCCCGTGGCCCCCCTTGGAAGTTTGTTTTAGGAGCTTATTTAACCTTTGAGGGTCTGTTTCCTTCTATTCACATACAACAGTGCATAATTAATTTTTTAATGTAAAAACATTAAAATTGACCTTAAAATACCTTATGTCAAGTCATTAAAATAAATGCACAATCTGAACAGAGATAATTAGGCTATCTGAACAGAGATATGAGTATCTAGATAGATCTGAAATAAAATATAACAGATGTTACAAATTTAATGTTTGTTTGTTTATTTAATCTGCACAATTAATATTTCAGGGACTTTATTATTGCTATTATTATTATAGAATCCCCCGTGATTCTATTATATGAGTCTAGAGGGTTAATAATTGAGGCTTAGACAGGGTGAGAGAAATCTTGGTCCACCTGATTATGAATAAATCAATTTATATAACATACCACATAATTCTCTATTATTAGCTACACTTAATATTTCAAACAGCAAGCAAACACGTCCTGTCAGAGTCTCATCAGAGCGGGTCCGCTGCGATCCCACAATGCACCGCTGCGCTGCTGCAGATGGAATGTAGCTCGCTAGCCTCTCATGCTAGCCGCGGCATCGCAGTAAAGTTTGACAAACACATCATGAGCGGCTCGAACCCGCCGCCAGCGCTGCACTGACAACACATGCGGTACGTATACTCTTCATCCACGAAGGTCTTCGATACAATCAGCCGAGAAAATGTTTGCAGTCCGGCCTCTGTGTACGTGATGAAACGGCAGCATAGAAATTGAGATCAGGCCGATTTTAAACTACATTCATATATTAAAATACATTAAAGTCATTATTAAAATACAGTAGTCTTATTAAGCTCAAGTCAAATTAAATGCGCAGTTGTATCTCTGACAGTGGCAACAGGCAGCCAGGGTTATGCTTGAGTGTCACACACTGTAAATGTACTTTATGTCATGTACTTTAAGTTTATTTATTAGTTTATGCACATCAGCATTATTAAGTCTGTATACATAGAGCTTAAACTCTTATCTTAGGCCTTTTTTTTTTAATCATACGTTGATCCACTTCCTATGCGGGTCGTATTTAGTTAAGGTTGATGATTGACATGTCATACATGACTTTTACAAAGTCTATGTATATGGAATATTGTTTTTTTTTTCTTCACCACTGATATAATTTTTGCTTTTCTACAGCTCACTGGGCGCATTAAGGGAGAATTATCTGTAGAGATGCTTAGATTAAGCTTAAAATATGTATTGTGAAAATGCTATAAAAATAAGATTGATTTGATTTGACAGTGTCATCTGGTTAAATCTGTTATGGCAAAGCTGCAGGATGCCAACCAGCTCATATAAGTCAGTAGAATAATAGAATAATTATGTAAAGGTCATCCTGGGTTAATAATGAATCTCAATCAGGTATGTTTGTAAATATTCATATTAATAATATTCATATTTATGAGGCCAATATCAATGATTAGAAAAGTACAGCAGGGTTAAATGCGGCTTTAATCTTTCAGTATTGATAAGTACGAAAATACAGATTGTTTCAGAGCAGCTTCACAGTAATAACAGCTATATAGCAGCTCTACTGCAGCTTTTTATATTTTTATCCAATAGTGTCATTACAGTTAGATTGATAATTTTTTTCTGAATATAATAAAGTGTCCTTTATGTTTTTTTTCAATAATAATAAAAGAAAAGTTTTTGAGAGGAACTGTTTTGTGTTGTTTTTAGCATTTTAATTATTATTTTTTAGATAAATAATTTAAGTTATCCCGTGGCCCCCCTTGGAAGTTTGTTTTAGGAGCTTATTTAACCTTTGAGGGTCTGTTTCCTTCTATTCACATACAACAGTGCATAATTAATTTTTTAATGTAAAAACATTAAAATTGACCTTAAAATGCCTTATGTCAAGTCATTAAAATAAATGCACAATCTGAACAGAGATAATTAGGCTATCTGAACAGAGATGAGTATCTAGATAGATCTGAAATAAAATATAACAGATGTTACAAATTTAATGTTTGTTTGTTTATTTAATCTGCACAATTAATATTTCAGGGACTTTATTATTGCTATTATTATTATAGAATCCCCCGTGATTCTATTATATGAGTCTAGAGGGTTAATAATTGAGGCTTAGACAGGGTGAGAGAAATCTTGGTCCACCTGATTATGAATAAATCAATTTATATAACATACCACATAATTCTCTATTATTAGCTACACTTAATATTTCAAACAGCAAGCAAACACGTCCTGTCAGAGTCTCATCAGAGCGGGTCCGCTGCGATCCCACAATGCACCGCTGCGCTGCTGCAGATGGAATGTAGCTCGCTAGCCTCTCATGCTAGCCGCGGCATCGCAGTAAAGTTTGACAAACACATCATGAGCGGCTCGAACCCGCCGCCAGCGCTGCACTGACAACACATGCGGTACGTATACTCTTCATCCACGAAGGTCTTCGATACAATCAGCCGAGAAAATGTTTGCAGTCCGGCCTCTGTGTACGTGATGAAACGGCAGCATAGAAATTGAGATCAGGCCGATTTTAAACTACATTCATATATTAAAATACATTAAAGTCATTATTAAAATACAGTAGTCTTATTAAGCTCAAGTCAAATTAAATGCGCAGTTGTATCTCTGACAGTGGCAACAGGCAGCCAGTGTTATGCTTGAGTGTCACACACTGTAAATGTACTTTATGTCATGTACTTTAAGTTTATTTATTAGTTTATGCACATCAGCATTATTAAGTCTGTATACATAGAGCTTAAACTCTTATCTTAGGCCTTTTTTTTTTAATCATACGTTGATCCACTTCCTATGCGGGTCGTATTTAGTTAAGGTTGATGATTGACATGTCATACATGACTTTTACAAAGTCTATGTATATGGAATATTGTTTTTTTTTTCTTCACCACTGATATAATTTTTGCTTTTCTACAGCTCACTGGGCGCATTAAGGGAGAATTATCTGTAGAGATGCTTAGATTAAGCTTAAAATATGTATTGTGAAAATGCTATAAAAATAAGATTGATTTGATTTGACAGTGTCATCTGGTTAAATCTGTTATGGCAAAGCTGCAGGATGCCAACCAGCTCATATAAGTCAGTAGAATAATAGAATAATTATGTAAAGGTCATCCTGGGTTAATAATGAATCTCAATCAGGTATGTTTGTAAATATTCATATTAATAATATTCATATTTATGAGGCCAATATCAATGATTAGAAAAGTACAGCAGGGTTAAATGCGGCTTTAATCTTTCAGTATTGATAAGTACAAAAATACAGATTGTTTCAGAGCAGCTTCACAGTAATAACAGCTATATAGCAGCTCTACTGCAGCTTTTTATTTTTATCCAATAGTGTCATTACAGTTAGATTGATAATTTTTTTCTGAATATAATAAAGTCTTAAGCCTCATTAAAATAGTAAGAAATTATGTATTACAATCCACTTGGAGTCAACTGGTTCATAATGACACGTAGAAGCAGGAATCTGACATAAAAAGGCATGAATGCTTCCTAATTAAATTAGTTTATGCTGCAGTGGCAATTCTGACAATAACTGTTCAAGACGTGTCAAGTCAGATTGAGTTTATTGTCATTTCTCCTCTTCCTAGCAGGTGATGAAAATGATTTTGATTTGATTGCACATAGAGGCTAGACCAACACTGGGTTCCAAAAGTCTGAGATCACATTGAAAATATCCTCCTTTTTTATTTAAACCTTGAAATAACGTTTTAGGATTTTTCAAAAGATCAAATTCCACAAGTTACTCTTTGGATCATTCTCAAATCATGCTGGAGAATATGGATCATCAGGTTTTGCTGCTGCTTGTCAAAAGCGGGGGGATATGAGGTTTGTTTTCTTTAAACTCAAACTTGTTGTTTCTCTCAGCCAGGTCAACAGAGAGGAAGTGCTGTGAACGCAGCTGTGTTGACTGCTGATAGGAATCCTTATGTTGGTCCTGTCTCTTCCTGTAGCTTCAGCTCAACTGCTCAGCATTCAGCGATGAACATTGATGAAAAGTTGGAGGGGATGCTTATGAAATGTAGCCCTGTGGGGCTTCATCACTCTTCCAGAGCTTTGGGACCCTCAAGGGTGGACGGAAGAGGAAGGAGAGGCAGTTTGGATATGACACTTGGGGAACGGAGCTTGGCTAATCATCCCCTTTTGGCAGAGGATGATGATGAAGATGATGATGATGATGAAGACCTGGCAGGTGGAGGCCTAAGCTCGCTTGGTCTGATATCCACTTCCTATGCGGGTCGTATTTAGTTAAGGTTGATGATTGACATGTCATACATGACTTTTACAAAGTCTATGTATATGGAATATTGTTTTTTTTTTCTTCACCACTGATATAATTTTTGCTTTTCTACAGCTCACTGGGCGCATTAAGGGAGAATTATCTGTAGAGATGCTTAGATTAAGCTTAAAATATGTATTGTGAAAATGCTATAAAAATAAGATTGATTTGATTTGACAGTGTCATCTGGTTAAATCTGTTATGGCAAAGCTGCAGGATGCCAACCAGCTCATATAAGTCAGTAGAATAATAGAATAATTATGTAAAGGTCATCCTGGGTTAATAATGAATCTCAATCAGGTATGTTTGTAAATATTCATATTAATAATATTCATATTTATGAGGCCAATATCAATGATTAGAAAAGTACAGCAGGGTTAAATGCGGCTTTAATCTTTCAGTATTGATAAGTACGAAAATACAGATTGTTTCAGAGCAGCTTCACAGTAATAACAGCTATATAGCAGCTCTACTGCAGCTTTTTATATTTTTATCCAATAGTGTCATTACAGTTAGATTGATAATTTTTTTCTGAATATAATAAAGTCTTAAGCCTCATTAAAATAGTAAGAAATTATGTATTACAATCCACTTGGAGTCAACTGGTTCATAATGACATGTAGAAGCAGGAATCTGACATAAAAAGGCATGAATGCTTCCTAATTAAATTAGTTTATGCTGCAGTGGCAATTCTGACAATAACTGTTCAAGACGTGTCAAGTCAGATTGAGTTTATTGTCATTTCTCCTCTTCCTAGCAGGTGATGAAAATGATTTTGATTTGATTGCACATAGAGGCTAGACCAACACTGGGTTCCAAAAGTCTGAGATCACATTGAAAATATCCTCCTTTTTTATTTAAACCTTGAAATAACGTTTTAGGATTTTTCAAAAGATCAAATTCCACAAGTTACTCTTTGGATCATTCTCAAATCATGCTGGAGAATATGGATCATCAGGTTTTGCTGCTGCTTGTCAAAAGGTGGGGGATATGAGGTTTGTTTTCTTTAAACTCAAACTTGTTGTTTCTCTCAGCCAGGTCAACAGAGAGGAAGTGCTGTGAACGCAGCTGTGTTGACTGCTGATAGGAATCCTTATGTTGGTCCTGTCTCTTCCTGTAGCTTCAGCTCAACTGCTCAGCATTCAGCGATGAACATTGATGAAAAGTTGGAGGGGATGCTTATGAAATGTAGCCCTGTGGGGCTTCATCACTCTTCCAGAGCTTTGGGACCCTCAAGGGTGGACGGAAGAGGAAGGAGAGGCAGTTTGGATATGACACTTGGGGAACGGAGCTTGGCTAATCATCCCCTTTTGGCAGAGGATGATGATGATGATGATGAAGATGATGATGATGATGAAGACCTGGCAGGTGGAGGCCTAACCTCGCATGGTCTGATATCCCAGGATGACCTCATGGTTCATGAGGAGACGGTGAAAAAGGATGGACAGGATGAAGCCGCTTTCTCACAGCGAATCTCCCATAAATTACACTATACACTCAATATGCCAGTAAGTGTACAGCTGTTCGAGCTGATTAAGAGCTAATTATTGCTGCACTTTAACAATATTATTTATTTTACTTGTGCAAGTTCCAACAGCCTTGTCAGTGAACCAAAACAAAAAAACAAACAGTGAGTAAATATTGGGTAAAGTAAGTGTGCATTTCTTTTCAGCAAATTTGCGCAAAGCTGATTTGTCCGAATTAAACTGTATTATGGCTATATCGTGATAAAAATAAATGTATAAAAATATATTCAGTAAATGAATTTAATTAATGATTGTTGTTGTTACTTTTGTTAGGTAAATATAAAGCAGGAGATGAAATTGCCAGACTCATTGAATCTCAATAAAAAGGAGAAGAAACCAGGGAGGGACCCATCTGACTGTCACAAAAAGAAGAAGAGAAAGCAGCACTCGCCTGCAAAGGTTTAATATAATTCATCAGAGATGCCACTGATAAAATACCAATATGCTCTAAAATACCAATTCTCTAAGTGAGAGATACTTTACAGTGCAAAACTGGTGGTAAAGTAATTTAAAGTTTGTTGTGAGGTTGAAAGTGTCCTGAAATAGCTTAATTTGTCTGCTTGCTTTTTTAATATAATTTCATTTGTATTAAAGGCTACTTGCTTACTGATGTGATTGTACTCATAGAAATATTATTATACTAAAAACTGCAATGCACATCTGACATTTATCATGTCATTTTATGGTATTGGTTAGCCAGGACATAAAGTATTATGACCACACAGATATGATGCTCTAAACGAGCACAAGCATGAAAGATAAGGTACAGTAGATTTTTAACTATATTTCCTTCATCTTGGTAGATTCTCACTATTAATGAAGACGGCTCCCTTGGGCACCAGAACCCGAAATCTCATGTCTGTGAGCACTGCAATGCTGCTTTTCGGACAAACTACCATTTACAAAGACATGTCTTCATTCACACAGGTAAGTGGTGTAATGTGTTTTGGGAATAAATGACATCTAAAAGAACAAAATGGTGAACAACATTTTTTATTTTGCAGGTGAAAAGCCTTTCCAGTGCAATCAGTGTGACATGCGCTTTATTCAGAAGTACCTGCTTCAGAGACATGAGAAGATCCACACAGGTAAGCAGAGAGGGATTAAAAACATTGTACCAGTGGCAAAAAAAAGTGTTTTTCATTCAAAACATTTTCTTCAAGAATGTACAGTGAAATCTTTAGAGTCGATGATCTGTTTATTAATGTAGTCCATTGCAAGCCCCTTTTTTGTGGTACATCTTTGTACTCTGAGAAAGCAAGTCTAGGGTTAAGACTGACGGGTGGAAAAAGTAGGCCTACTTGACTTGCCTAAATTGTTCTTTATATCATTCATAATAGCATGTCATGCCGCCCCTTTAGGAGAAAAACCATTTCGCTGTGATGAGTGTGGAATGAAATTTATTCAGAAATACCACATGGAGAGACATAAGAGGACACACAGTGGGGAAAAGCCTTACCAGTGTGACTATTGCCATCAGGTAAGGGCAGTCCAAAGTAAATCAGTACAATTAAAATGTTAGCATGCATTATACAGTCTGAAACATGATGATGTACATTTTTCCCAACAGTTTTTCTCCAGAACTGACAGAGTACTAAAGCACAGACGAATGTGCCATGAGAATAAGGACAGGAAGGTGCAGAAAGCAGCTGCCAAAGACGACCCTCTTCGCACCTCAGAGACCTTGGGCTTCTCTTTTCCTGCCAAGGAATGCACGCTTCCCAAGAAGAAACGTCAGAAGACCTTTGATAAAAGTCGGGTTGCGCTCACAAGTCCCACTGTTGACAAAGTGGTTGAAGCTGGTAACGAGGAGAAGACGGAAGACCAACTGGCCAAAAGCGAGTGTCTTCCTCTTTACACTGTAGCCACCAAGGTCAAGGACGAGTATGTCGTGACAGATTATTCCGTTGAGCTCCCTGATTCCCCGCCTGGCAACAGGCATCTCGCAGGGGAGGAATCGAATGATGAGATCATCAGTCCTCCGAAACTAGTGCTGAAGAAAATCGCCAGCAGGAGAGGTTTGAAACAGCAGGCCCTAGAACATCCCCAGAGTCTCTCACCCTTGTCCTCATTCGAAGAGAGCAAAGTAACAAGATACACGTTTGAAATTGTGGACAACAAAGGCCTCTTGGATGTCGAGACCAATCCTGTCATGGAGTCGGTTGATTCCCTCCAAGGAGGACAAACGAAACCAACTGGGAGCAGCACAAATTATGACGACGCCATGCAGTTTCTCAAGAAGAAGCGATACCTTCAGGCGGCTACGGCAAACACTAGTCGAGACTATGCGCTTAATGTAAGCAGCATTGTGTCGCAGTCTTCAGTCACTCAGGCAGCTGTAGCAAGCGTCATCGATGAGACCGTTCCCGCCACAATCCTCTCTGAGACTCAGACGCTGAACGTGGAGATCAAGTCCAGTAACGAGAAGAACGTCCTTCCAGATGAGGTCCTGCAGACGCTTCTCGATCACTACTCCAATAAGGCCAACAGGCAAGCAGAGATTTCCTTCAGTGTGGCGGACACTGAGGTCACATCCAGCATCTCTATCAACTCTTCCGATGAGAGCAGCCCCACCGAGACTTTGGGGACCAGCTCACAAGGACCCCCGGCCGAGAAGGCTAGCCTTCTACAGGAGTACTCCAAGTTTCTCCAGCAAGCACTGGAAAGGACCAGTCAGAATGACACCTACCTGAACAACCAGAGTCTTACGTTTGTAAATGACAGTGCCAGTCTTGCTGGCCAGCCTTTGTTTTCCACGGAGAAGCAGTTCACCTCCCCATCCCGGTTCAGACCGAGCATGAACTCTCCATTGAGATCCACCTTGGAGAAACCTAACTTTAGCCTTTTAGTAGATTCCCAACACTCCTTCTCCTTTTCAGGTGACGAGACAAACCCTTCCTCAGTTTCGCCAACAGAGGACTTCCTCGACCAAGTGACCTCTCCCCAAAAAACAGATGCGCAAAGCATTAGTCAGACATTTCAGATCGCTACTTTTGACCAGAACTTTCGATCTCAGTTTCCAAGCTCACGAGCTGGAATGTCCTCACAGTTTAGCATTGCCAGTGGACAAGTTAGCCTGAGAGGTCATGGAGGAGCGGACTTCCCAGAGTTCTCTCTTGTTAACGAAACAAGATCTCCAGATGCTACAAGCAGCCAAACTTTTGGCTAAACAAGAGCTTTTAATGATTTGAAGCATTTTAATGGCACTTTATAGTTCTGTCAGTGAAGGCAATGTGATCTCTGTGCAAATACTTATGATTTTTCATCTTTAAACAATCACGCATGTGGAGCAGAGTGATGCACGCATTAGATTTCATTATCAGCACTTCTAATGGAGACTATGGGATACTCTTTATCTGTCATTGCATTATTTGTGCATTACACATGTAGGGCTTGGGATGAACGCACTATGGCTTGCCAAATTAGTTAGCCTGTGCGTTCTAGAATTAGGAATTCAAGCTACAACAACAATGCTGTTGTAGTAGTCTAAATTATAGGGTCAACGTAGCTTCCTAGAGAGAAAATGATACAAAAATCAATTCTGATTTGGCCTCTTTTTAGCATTCAGTTCTTTTGCTTGGAACAACAGGCTCAACGGACTGACCTAATAATGAAGGTCTATAGAAACTACTCTGACCTAGCATTACAATCGATTTTGTAACATGTTGTCTGGAGAGGTACTGAAAGGACCTTACATTCACGCCCTAGACTTGAGTAAGGCACTTTGTTTAAAAAATGAGTAACATTTTTCTGCCGTTGTAAGCTAATTTGCGTATTTAATTTTTTGTGCACTTAATTACTTGTTGGAATGTTTTTACAAATATTTGCATTCTCTGCTCCCATAAAGAATCTCTCCAAGACACATTTTGTTTAGAGCAATCTGCAGGTATTGTCATACTGAATTTGTATGGACCTAGCCCATAATTTTATATAATGAGATTATATAATCATGAAATATTTTTGCACATTTCTCCTAAGGTTATTGGATCAAAACAATAGATATTCTCATGCTACTTCTGAACAAATCAGTACATTTTCATCAGATTTAGGGCACATGGGGAACAAGGCATCTGTAGATGGTTTGTTTTCACATATTCTACATTTAGGGATGCAGTTTTAGCAATTGTCAATATGCACTTCTTCATTTGTCATCATTGTGCCTGACTCAGTGGTTAGTTCAGACTTACAATAGTCAAAATACAACATACTTTGTTGAAAAAATGTGCGCATTTCATCACTTTGATTTCCTTAAGAGGATTTCATTTGTTCACATTCTGTTTTCTTGAGTTTCCAGATGGACTCAATATCTCATAAACATTACCCATTAAATAGCACTTTGAGCTCATGGGCAGTTTTTGTTATTGCTTTAAAGCACTTTTTTAGTTCCCACCTTCCCTCTACATAATGTACACATTCATAAATCTGATATAATCTATATCAGTGTTGAGTGAAATCAAGAAAGATGATTTAAGAATGTATGGTCTGAGATCATATTTTTTGCTTTTTCTTTGTCTCAAAAACACCCCATCCATTAGCAAGTATGTCTTTGTATCAGATTCACTTGCTGTTACTTATTGGATCAATATAGAACAAAAAATAAAGTGTAATGTTTGGTAAAGTTATACTAATATGTACACACAGCATTTATTAATCACACATCTATCTTTGTTAGCTTAAAAACTAATCATGTAAATGAAAAACTTTGTTTCTGTTTTATTTTTATTAATTTACCTGCTTGCCCCATAACTGTTAATCATAATCTTGATTAATCTTAGTTTTATGCTTTATACTCGTAGTATCATGCGAAACTGTACACTCATTTCTTTGTAAATCATTTTTAAAAACATTCTTATGTAAATTGTTTAATGGTTTTATAAACACACAAATTCACTCTGCTCATATTTTGTGAATGAGGCCCATTAAGAACAGTCCTGTGTGTTTTTTTTTATAGTATGTTCTAGGTGTCAAAGACATTTTACTGTGTTTTTGATTACGGTCTATTATATGTGTGCCTAAACATTCCTTTATTGTCCCTTTATTTCTACACATTGTAAATAGGTTGTATATTTTAATTTGTGCATTTTGATGTGCACATGTTTTGGAGTGTAGAGAGAGTGCGACATGATTTACTATTTGCTGCCATTTTGGTTTACTCATTCCTGTAGTCCCTGATGACTCTCAGCACAACTTTTGTGACTAAATCATGTTTGTGTTCTTGTTTGTAAAATTACAAATGTACTGTCCTCTAAGAATTGCCTCTGAATTAGTTTTTAATAATTATAATTTGATTAAACCATGTATGGATATCATACACCATCAGAGGAGTTTTTAGGATGTTATTTATCATTTCAATATCATGTGATACCTTCATTATAAATATTTAATCAATAATTACTGCTTTAGATGCTCTAGAAATCGATGAAAGTGAAATGATAAGTTGAGGGAAGACCTTAATGCTTTATTTGTGCTTTATTTCCTTTTAGTAAATTGTGGATTTTATTAATTATTTTTTTTGTAAGCTCAATTGCTATTGGTAAAAGGTCATAACCATTTAGACACATGACTGTTGTTCTTTATTGACTGGGTATTTTGAGCATCAAAGTCTCATCTGGTGTTACTGATGGTGGATCATTGTTTTCTTTCAAGTTTAATTTGAGTGGAAAACTGAATGGTTTTATTTAGTAAGCTCTTCTGACTAGTTTTAGACATTTAATTTTATTGGGGAGTGCATGTCCTCTGACTGTCTTTGTACACTGGTTATATTTTTATATGTATCCATTTTATTGTAGCCGAATTATTTCCATAGAATATACTTTAATGCAATACTTTGCCTAAGACATGGGGAAAAAGTTCTGATTGGATGTTTTTGATTGCGTGCCTCTTGTTGTGTAATATTAAATTTCAAAATGCATCAAGTTGTTGAGTGCTTTTTCCATGTGTCATGATCACTCATCACAGGAGTGGGTGGCCCCTGCCCTTTTAGTATAAGCACTACTGTGTGAATCTCATGAAACCAGTTAAGAAATCCAGTTCATTTTTAACAAAAATCAAGAAATGTATTTTGCCTAAAATAAATGAATCCTGTTTTTAAGACCATTAACATTTTTTGCATTGTGATTGCATATATATTTTATGACAATTAAGCATGTGTCTCCCAATTCTCTTTAACTAAAGGCAAAAATAAGTAAATATATTTATTCACAGTAGTATTTCTATGGTCTTAATTCAATTCTAATTGTCCTAAAGGATTCATTTTGTGCAAATATTTCTTATTGTCTTTCTTTCTTTTTAAATCTGTTTAAATATAACCTGGGAACATTTTTGTGAGATAATCATATTGACAAAAATGTGGACTGGGGTTGAAAATATGGTTGTATGGTTGAAACATGACCATAACTTTGCATAAAAGCATCTTAAAATGATTTTAATTTGACTTTACATAAATGTCCACTAGTTAGTTATATCAATGACGAAATAAAAAAAAAAAAATACAGAAAGTCCTGCACCGTTAGACTAGTCGAAGAACAGTGAAATGAACACTGGCAGCACACACCTGAGGTGGCGCTGATAGAACAGATATTTGACGTTTATTGCACACGTAGCGTTTCCATAAATAACAGCGACACACAGACAGCTGTTAGGATAAAATTCTTAAAGTAAGAATTAATCGAACGATATGATTTTAAAATAGTTCGTTTGCGACGAACCATTGCACTACATAACGTTAAAAACGCTTTTAATATACTATGCTAAAATACTGTGTCATGGTTAGTGTCAATTTAGTAAGTTACTTAAATAGCACTTCTTAGTTACTTCAAACGCAAAACGTTTACAGATAAAACGTACTAAAAATTTTTTTTTTTTAATGTTTGATGCTTAACCGTTCGAAAGAACCGATTCGCGGAAATGAGTCGGACCACCCAACTAATCCGGTGTGCGCTCGCGCCTCTCTCACTTTCTCCACCTGCTGCATCCGGGAGCACAGCGACTGCAGGTAAGTGTCTTTATGATTACTCAAGGAATTTACAGTTCAACTATATCCCCAAACAACATTTTATCCTTTAGATTAGGGCCGCTAGTCACTGGCGTTTCTAATAGTGTTTGCAACGAACCATTGCACTACATAACGTTAAAGTAAAACACAAACACAATGTCAGTAGGCTACTACACAACTTAGTCACGTGAACTTCAATACGTTTGTTTGCCTTTTATCTTAAAGTATTAAAATGTTGATCAAGTGCGGAATTTTAATTACATGTGTTTTATTAATGTGTCACTTATTAAAAGACGGCTTTTGTTGGCTTAAATGTATCCAAGTTACGTGGCCATCGCCTACTTGGCAAATGTTGTTAAAATTACCTTTGTAGGCTATATACAGTATTAAAGCCTTTAAAATGACTATAGCAATGCTAATTTACTTTCCTCAGATCCAGCTAGTGTAATCTTGCCCAGGAGGGAGCATGAGTCCTCAAGTTCAAGAGTTATTCCATGAAGACGCACAGGTAATGACCAATCTGTAAGTTTTACCATAAGAATAAATAGTAAACCATAAGTTCAGATCCTACTGTTTTACCCTGAGCGGAGGACCTGACATTAATGGTGACTTGTTTAGATATGAGTGACACTGGTTTGTGTAGGGTTCCCAGAGTAATGCCCAGCCTTGGTGGAAGGTGCAGCTTTTCGTCTGGGAGCCTGTTCTTTTCGGCACCTGGGATGGAGTCTTTACTACCTGCATGATCAACATTTTTGGGGTGGTGCTCTTTTTGCGGACTGGCTGGCTTGTGGTAAGTTATGTTTTATCATTGATTTCAAGGTGCTTGTAGTGCATATGTGTATCAGAGAATCTATTTAAATGGCATTTGAAAAGATATTCCAAGGTTTTGGTTCATATTTATGGAAGCCCGTTCCACAAAAAAAAAAAAAAGAAAAAAGTCTCAATTACTTTTTGTGAGATACAAGCTTACAATTATGAGAAGGCCGTAATTGTGAGATATAAATGGAATTCTAACTTTTTTCTTGCAATTCCAAGTCTATTTCTCGCAATTCTGCTTTTATATCTCTCAATTCTGACCTTTTTACTCAGAATTTTGAGTTTACATCTCACAATTCTGTTTTAATTGCAACTTTTTATCTCACAATTCTGACTTTTTTTCTTGCAATTCTGAGTTTATA